GTTACAGCAGGGTCAAAGCTTGGCTGCGGACAGCTGGCCTGAAGGCGTCTGTTCTCCATGTATGCTGCGTTCAGATCATGCCCACTTCAGCTTTGGGGGACTCCTGCTTTCCGTCCGGGTCGGAAAAAAAGACAAGTCGTTTAGGCTTGGGAGCCGGTCCCTTGGCATTGGCTTAAAAGTAGTCCAACGCGATCGAAAACGACCCGCTTTCACTTCCAAACTCCGTCCAGAGGGGCAGATAACTGCCCGTGCGTTTGCGCACAGATGTCCGTCGTCTGACCTGACGTGAACGCAGCATCACCCCGGGGGGTAAGGCCCCTGGCTCTGCAGGAAGGTGCTCAGGAAATGCGATCCATGATAATGGCACAGAGTGGAGGCGGCGGCGGGGCGGGGGGGCGAGCGGCGCCCCGGGGGGACTATGTGGCGATGTGGGCCGCAGACGGGATGGAGACGAACTCCCGCAGGATGTTCTTGGCCGTCTCCAGGTTGTTCTGGGCGATCATCAGGGCTTTCTGGATGTCCTGGATGGAGTAGCCCTGAGACACCAGGCACTCGATCTCACCGTTCAGAGCCAGGCTTCCGGGGCCGGAGGGAGGGGGAGGAGGGGGGGGGGGAGGAGGAAGGAGGGGAGGGGGAGCAAGAAGTGGGGATGTGGAGGGGCCGGGCAGCTCTGGCAGGGGGAACTCCCGGTTGAACGGCCGAGGCTGTCGGTCGGAGTTGGCCCGGGGTGGGAGGGGTTTGGGGGGGCGCTCGGGTTCTGCGCCAGCTGCAAACACATGTGGAAGAACAGGTGAGAGGACAGCAGCAAACTCCCTCAGCAAGCTGCTTTTTTACCCGCTTTATGCTAAAACAACCGAGTGGGATGGGAAGCTGAATTTCAGTTAGTATGAACTATTATTCTGAGAAAAAGCTTTATATCTGAATAGGAAGAAAACCTGACCTCTCGCATCGTTTATTTAAAGAAAATCAACACGCGATCCTCTACTATCCTCTCAACTATCTTTCAAACAATTTTCTGCTAATGTTTTCCCATCCGAGTTTAGGCATAAACTTTCACATTTAAAGAAAGTTTCAAAGATGATTCTTTATTTTTTACCTCATCTGAACATAATATGGTCTCTGACTCGAGATCTGCATTTTACCCAGAGAAATACTTTTTAAAAAGAGTGAATAAAGGGAAATAAAGACACATACTGGCTTCGACAGCGCCGTCCATGCTGAGACTGCTAAACGAGGTGGAGGGACAGCCGATTTCTGGAACGGCTCTCCTGCTGGGGGCGGGGGCAACGACCGGCCGGGGACAGTCGTACTCGTACACATCCTCCACATCGGGGTCCTCCTTCCTATCCGAGGGCTTGGGGTGATCTGAAAAACAAACCCGAGGCGATGAGCCAGCGCAGGACACGAGGGTGGGAAAGGAAAATGGAAAAACCTCTTTAATCTGCATTATGCTCTCATTCTACTCTGATCCTCCTGTGTATGGATTCTGAACACTGAGAACAGCTAGTGGTAATTTGAATAGATAACCAAGTGACAATCCCTGCCGATCGGCCATTAAGAAATGCTTCTAAAGTGCATCTGAGGCCTCCCTGAAGACAGTTACCGAGGTCTGTGGCCTGTGTGGTCTCAGCACAGCCAGCCTGACTCTGGATGTTACACATGGACTCATACACTTGGGGGTCTTCGGAGTCGCTGTCGCCCACCTCGCTGCCGCGCCAGAGAGGAGAAGAATAATTTCAACAATTAGTACAGGTGAGATTAAGGTGAGATGAAAAAAAAAACAAAAAAAAGCAAGTAAATAAGTTCATCATGCAGTGTAAAAATTTTTTGCCAAGGTGCAGCTCATCTTGAGAATGATTTTTTTCTTTTTATTTCAGTTTCCAATTGTTCTCCAAACACGTCCCCAACTAGTTCTGGCTACAACCAGTTCAGCTCCACACGGGAAGCTCGGCTTCTGCTGGTCATTAGAGGGAATTCTGGTATTGCATTGCACGCTTTCATCGGTGCATCAAAGAGGCAAGCTGGAATCCTTCATCTTGTCGGAAAATCTGCATCTTCTTCATCTTCTCTAAATTATTGAAGGGGTCGTAGAACAGAAACAACACGGGCTTTGCCCACAGATGCACAGTTCCAAACAAAGATGAGGCAGTGGAGCCTCCTGCTGGTTAACAGCTGAAACTCCACGCAGAACGTTTCTTTTTCTGGTGTCCAAATTTAAGGGACAGCCCGTGGTGATATTCTGGTGCCCGAGAAATGTTAGAGAGGTGTTTTCTGGCAGAGAGTGACAGCTTTGACCGAGAAAAGCCGAGAGAAGCAGCAGAAATGAAGAAACAGGATGGCAGCTTGCAACCCTGATAAGCACTGATAACGAATGGCTTCTGATAATCTGACTCGCAGCGACGCGTCCAGCTCACACGCCTCAGACCTTCATTCTCCCGTTACCTGACGTCGCTGTTGTTTGTTTGGCTTGGCGGCGGCGGCGGCACCAGGGAGCCCGTTATGACCCACTGGGCACCGGAGACGGGGAGGGACGTGGGGCTCATGTACTCGTTCTCCTCCGAGTCTGATGGAAGTTTGTCCCCACTCGATACCACTGATACCGACAGCGACCTGAACACACATGGCCATCACAAAGCGTATTATCATTATTTTTAAAAAAGGTGGTCGTATGTGTATGTCTGTCCAAAAAGGGTGAAACAAACAGGCTACACGAAGAGTGACCAGCTTCTTCAGATGGCTACTGTTATCTATCAGTTCCCCGTTAGCTATCATGCTATTTCTGAGACGGCCAGTTAGTTGAAGTGCTGTTGCTATGGCAGCAGAAGTCCCATTCTAAGAGTAAAAACACGCTCACAGGAGCAGGCCAGTACCTGGCAGCCAGGCAGTACACGGCGTTGGTGGCTGCGTGGGCTTTGGCCCCCTCCCCGCTGCCGCCGTTGCTCTGAGGGCTGGGGGGCAGGGCTGAGGGGGTCTTGGTGGCGGGGCGAGGGACCATGTAGTTGGCGGCCCAGGCGGGCTGGTCGGGGGTGGAGGGCAGGGGCCTCCTCTGGAGTCTGGAGTCCTGGACGATCAGCGAGGGCCGCTCGGGGGGGGGAGGAGGGGGCAGCTCTCGCACTGCTGGAGGTGGAGGTAGAGGCTTGTCCCTGTGAGTGGCTGCGATCTGTTGGGTGGTGGGAGAGTGTTAGGGGCTGTGAAGCAGCACAGATGAGAGGACACCTCTGTGGTGATCTGTGTTTCAGGAGCTGTTGGAGATGCAGGGGAGAAGAAAGTACTTCTGGGTAGATTGAGAACCCCAAGAAAAGGCTCCATGTTCTGAACGTGGATACCACAAGACTGAGGGTGGGGTTCGTGGCTGTAGTGAGACATGAATCGGACTGGGAACTGACTAACTAAACTAAATCAAACGGCCTGTAGCACGTCTAAAGAGGACGTCTTATTTAGATCCAGTTGAAGATGTTCAGGTATTTAATTGGCAAATTGTTGTGTATTCATTCATTGGGGATATTTGGCAGAAGGGACTAACTTTAAGATCACACACATATTTTGTTTAATGGGAAATATGGAGGACCGGGCCCATAATCTGATTCATCTGATTCTTGACTTATTATGTAGTACGCATTTTTTTTTTTTTTTTACAAAAAACAAAACAACATAAAAAAGCTCTTTGTTTCCTGAACTGCATCCCCTTAATAAAAAAAACAGTAAACCAGCATCTAACATAAGGAAACTCCTGGCATTTTCAATTTGAAACATGTCTACACAGTCCTGGGGCGGGGGGTCCAAATCTTATGAGAAAGGGATTCTTCCACTGCCTGAGACACGTACTTTTCAGGTTACATGTACTGTGGAAAATATTACAGGCGATCTTTTAAGACCTGTCCTACTCTCTGGGGGTCTGAGGCCCTGCTTCTGTAAGGAGCATTCACACACACACACACACACACACACACACACACACAAACTTGCCTTGGCTGTGGCTCCCGGCCCCAGTGCAGCATGGGAGCTGGAGGACCTCTGCTGCAGGAGGTCCAGTCGTGGAGGCACAGGGGGCAGCTGGGACACCGGAGATGCCGGCCTCTCAACCTGCACACCCACAAACACCATCACAGGTGCTGCGCAGCTCTTTCCGTCTGATTTACTTCAGATATTTATCAGCTGGAACTAAATGATGCCATCGTTTACCTTGGTGCAAGCTAACCGGCTCATGACGAAGTTCTGGTCCTCCATACGATCGTCCTCCTCCTCGTCGTTGCCAACAGCTTCGGCTCTACTGGAGGCCTGGAAGCCGGCAAAGGAGGCCCCGCTGGCCTTTGGGTGGAAGGGGTCCACCACGATGGGCTCCGTGCCTTTAATCTCACAGCGACAAAACGGGCAGCCCTGACCCTCCGATTCCTGAGTAGAGAACACAGAGCAAGTTTACCTTCTGCTGAAAGGGTGAATGTTTCATAAGCTTTTTCTCAAGTGGAGACAGGATCGATATAGCCGACTCGGGGAAGAAAAAAAAAGAGCGAGTCACTATGGTGACTATCAATATATGTAAATCAAATGCAACAAATGTCATTTGACCTTACAACAAATTACATTACTGAACAACTAGAGGCTCCGGCAGCATCACCTGCCAGGCGGTCAGGCAGGAGGTGCACATGAGGTGTCTGCAGGGTTCAATCTTCACGTCCTTGTCGTTCTCGGCGCAGATCTTGCAGAGCTGGAAAGTGGAGCCCATCTCACAGTAGAGCTCATACTGCTCCTACAGGATGCACGAAGGGAGGAGCATTACAGCTTAAACCACCTCATACAACGGTTGGACTCATTCGTCCACACTAAAACTGCTCGTTTTGGGGTGGAGCGGCTCCGCTGACGCGCAGGAGAACCCAACAAACCTGAGTGACTTTGATGTGGTCCTGTGGAGACGGTTCACACAGCCCTGTGAGGTCCGGGTTCTGTGCACGGCCGTCTGGAAAAAGATAACTGAGGGACCCCCACACCACAAACAAGTCAGAATCTGGACTTAAACAAATAAATCCACCCGCATCTTCTTACATCTTTTTCTCGAGAACATGCCGAAGTTATCCGTTCGATGGATCTCACTCACAGAACAAGAACGACCCAAAGTCAAAGACTGACAGCAGTCATTAACACACCTGATCCATACTGATGCAACAGTGAAAAACGTACGAGCGTCAAGTCAAATAACAGCTGAGGGTTTGGCACCTTTACAGGTTTTTACTTCATAGTTCTGGTTTCACATATTTTGCGAATTTTTGCTGGACAGGTGGGGATTTTCCGGGAGATTTTAAGGAAAAGTCAGCCGTAAGAATGGGCAAAAGTAACTGAAACTTAAAAAGAACCGAATGAGACTTACAACCCCTCTCTGTATCCATCTATGAGGGCCTGGAAGAGCGGTTTGTTGTGGGGGATGGTCTGCAGGATGTTGCCGTCTGCGGTCACGTAGCCGATGGCCCACTGTCCCAGCCGGGTGCAGCTCAGCCTGAAGATGTAGCTGCCGGGGGGACAACCATCTTAACTACAGGCCAGATGTCCACAGGACGCGCAACCGCCTCCCTGCCGGGTCTTACCTGCCGGGCTTGTGGATGAACCTTTGCAGCCGGGCTTTGACCTCGTCGTAGGTTAAGAAGGCCATGTAACCGGGGTGGGTGACTGCCAGGCTGTTCCAGTTCCTCAAAAGAGACGACCACGGCTGCACAACACACAGGGATACATGCGGATTACGCACAGGAACACACACTCATCCCGTTCGTCCGTTTCCTGCTCGAACTGAACTTTAAAAAAAACAATAAAACAAGAAGTGAAACCAACATTTGAGGAAAATGTCACATGCCTGTGTGACGTGACTTTTCGGCAGAGAAAGTTTAGGAAATTCTCTGGACATTAGATTTAGGACACTAAGTCTTGCAATAACTGGAACACTTAGAACAGATTTCCACTATATTCAGAGGGATTACCTGGAAGAGCCGGGTGAAGATGTCGAACTCAAAAACAGAGATGTAGTCGTTGCAGGTGAGATCAATGGTGGATTTGAGAGCCATGGCCTCCAGTCCTGAATTGATGGGGTGGAACTCATGGAGAGCCTGGCGAAATGTCCTCCATGGCACTATGGTCCTTTAGGGAGGAGGAATCAGTCACCACATTTAAAAAAACATTTAGAATCTCATCTGTTAATCATCAAACCAGCACACGGTTCACTTCCCTTTAGAAAGAGCACGTTTTTACAACCTCCGCAAACTCACTTGTCTCCAAAAGATCTTCTCCAAAATTCTGCCGCGTCGGCTTTCGTGATCCTGAAGTTGTCCCCCTGAAACAGGCCGTTGGGGAAGATGGCTTTCAGCTCCGCAAGCATGTGACTGAAGATCAGCGACAGCTTTGTGAGGTTACGTCTGAGTCGGGGGAACAGGGACAGAGGAAGTGAAAGAAACGGTTAGTTTAAAAAGTTAAGCATATTTTCTTGACCGACATAACCCAGATGGTGCTGCTGGGAGCGGCCGTGGTCAGTAATCGGGTGGCGGATGCCTCAAATTGAGCTAAATGAGTCCTCCTTTTCTCTTGAGCTGCAGTTAATATTTTACTGGTCGGTTTCAGTTCAAGGATACAGCCGAGTTAAACAGGTATCCTTTATTATGTATCCTTTGGTCTGATGTTTGGATTTGATTTAAAAAGTCCTTCAGTGCCATTTTGTAAATGAAATGAACCCATTTTCTTCTTGAGAGGGCAAAGATTGTGTCTCAAATGGCATTTCAGTACCAAACAAAGTGTCAAATGCAGGATGACCTTGATATAAATTGTAGAGCAAGTAAAAGAATGGCAATGGAGCAACATGGAACTGATAAGCTGCCGGAGCTCTCTGCTGACGGTGGACCAGCTTCAGCTGTGCAGCCTCAGGCACGGCCACGACCCCGCCTCTCCAGATGTGATTTACTGCCTTCAGGGCCAGAATCCAGCTGAGTCACTATTGTGTTTACTTGTTGTGGTCTTATTGGACTTTTTTTTTTTAATCCAGTGAGCTCATTGGCTGCTTTCCTCTTAAAAAAAACAGTCATTGGGGGGAAAGAACAAGTCATTTTCACCTCTTTTCTTTATACCAGAGGATATTCCTTCTATCAATGGACAGAGGATATGGTGATTTGGAAAAAACACCCCACTGGAGTTTTCTCCTTTATTTTAAACAAGTTTATGGTATATTGATTAAAAAAATTTCTAATGGATCTAGATAAATGTATGCCCATGTCCGTAGACATAGACTGGGAAAAGGTGTGGGAAAAAAGTAATAGTGCAGAATACAGTAAAGTATTCTAAGGTTTCTTTTCAAATTGGACAACTACTTCTTCTGCTTAATTACACCCCAAGTCATGCAGGCTACATCATCACCCTTTGGTGGCAACACAAGGACTGGGACTTTCATATCAAAATATGAAATACTGCGAATCTCTAAAAAGAAAATAAGAAAAAAATGATACATTAAAAAAAAAAAAAAACCTCTCATGGATGTTGCTCATCATGCTTTACGCAGAGTGTGTGTGCCTTCTTAAGTCTGTCTGTTGAAAGATACCAGACAGGTTTTAGGGGCATGCACGTGGTGGGTGGAGTCTAAAGCAAGAGCCAAAATATGGAAAATAAAAGCATGAGAACACAGGAAGCCGAACAGTTGATGCCCTTCTAACGAATCATCATGACGCCTGACTAAATGCTACGTTGAGGATTCAGTCAAGACCCTGGGGGGGGGGGGATACTTTTGCTAATACTCACAATAGCTCTTTATGCAGAGCATCTATGAGGAAATGCTGGATTAGAATCAGTGAGTCATGGGAAGGATGAACTTTCATTTCTATCCTTCTGAGGAACAGAGGATGCAGATGTGATTGCAACACATTTATCGTACCCTGGTTTGCCGCTTTGCGTCAGTTCCAACCACAACTTCACACATGTGAAGTTGGTTTTGTCAAGAGACACAAGCCATTTTCTAAAGAACTGAGCTGGGAGGGATAGGCAGCTTATACAACACGTCTACAGCACACATGCTTTCACCCACACATTACAGCTTTAAAAAGAGAAACGAGGCCAGTGCAATCCATTCAGATTTGACTTGTGGAAACAGAGGAATTGAGCAAGCCTCTTCAGTCAGAGTTTTTTTTTTAGAAAGAGGAATAGTTACTTCTATCTTAAAATAAATCAGACTGGACAAGTGCTAGAGTTTCCACTTTTTCCTAGATTTAAATGTCAGCCAGTGCTTTGTGCAATTCTATAACAATTCAAAAAGGGTACAGATCCGATATATTTAAAAGAAGAGGAGAGGTAATGTTTATGTGAGTCACCAGCAGCACCATCAGATTAGCTGCAATTAAGCAATCATGACCTTAAAGGATTATACTATCGATTGGGAGCCAAGATAAACAGTGATTAGCTCTGTACCATCTGCTCCCTGGTCCTCGGCCTTGCTGCCTGTCCGTTTTCTCCAAAGAGCTTGCCAACCTGCCATCAGGTCTTGAGCCTACCTGGGCTGGGAGTTCTCCTCGTACATCCTCTCCTTGGCCTCCTTGAAGAGGCTCATGGTCTGCTTCGTTTTGTTGGTCAGGTTGTCGACGACCACGCGGAAGTACTCGTTCTCCCCGAGGACCTCCATCTTGCCTTCGTATCGGGACAGGATGGTGCGCAGGTGCTGGAAGGTGTCCGGCAGCAGGTCCAGGATGTAGGGCGGGCTGTTCTTCAGCGCCACCTTGGGGTTCTGGCACAAACGCACCACCTGGGGAGGCAACACAACGGCTTTAGGGACGGCTTTACAAGTAAATAAAGGGGCGGCGTGTGGCGAAATCAAATGGAATCCCTCACGCCCCGAAAAGCCTAAGGCCTCTCGCAGAACAGCTGGAATAGAATCGTTAAATCTGTAAAAGAAATAATGGAAAAATCTAAAGGATCTCTCACCGAGACGTTTTGAATGGTAATCAAACACCATTAGGCTAATAAAATTAACTTGATTTTGAAGTTACAGAGGCTGCAAAGCACTCAATCACCTCAATCGAACACAAGGAGTTCAGACTGACTTCTAACTAACCAGCTGGCCGGATTCTTTATTTATCTTTTTCTCACTATACAATTCCATTGCAGGGTAGTAAAGTCTTTAATAACATGTTATAGCCCATGTGGCAGGCACGTGACTCAGGTAAGAGGTTTTAAATGCTCACCCAGCAGAAAGGCATGAGCACAGGCATACCACAGCTTGCCTTATCTTCTCCTCTTACTCCAGTCCTCCTGAATGACTATCTTTTGAAGTCTTGTCAGGGCCATCTCCCTCTTCTTCCCTCTCTTATCTCCATCCCAGCTAAAGCTGACTGCAAAGGATAAGCTGGAGTGGCAGCAAGACATAAACTGAACCGAGCCTGTCCCTGTACCCCCCCCACCCCATCATCTCTCTCTCTCCCTCTCTGCCACAAACGCACCTCTTTTGATCCAATACTGAAAATAGGTTGTTCTCACAGGGACACTAATGTGACCCAATTCACATTATCCCAATTAGATAATGGATCAGGGGCACCATTGTACTCAGAACTGGAGGGTTTGGTCTTCACATATGGAAAACCCAGAAAGGTTCACAAGTCAATGTTGAAAAAAAAAAAAAGGATTTTCATTTATTTGTATGAAAGTCTGACTCAGTGTCTAGATGTGGAATTACAGAGATCAAATTTCCCCCCAATAAAAGGTGTGTTTATTAGGGTTTATAAGACGTAAATGCATATTTGCCCATAAACAACCAAAAGAGGGAAGTGACAGTGTGATTTAAAAAGACAGATAACAGTCCAGAGGAAGAGCACGACAGTATTCTGTTACACGATTTCCACCATCGGTAAATATTTGCCAGAGCACAGACGTTGCCGTTACCTTATCCATGAGTTTCCAGCACTTCTCCACCATTTTCTTATCGACCACTGCGGGCTGGTGAGGCTGGAGAGGCTGCTGGTGGGGCTGAAACGCGTCCTTCATCAAGCCGATGAGACCGGCGCCCCTCCTCGGATTTCCGGCCATTAATTCGCTCGATGACCGGGGGTTGAGCCCCGGGGCTGTGGCTGACAACCGGGGGGTTTTCTTGACACGTTTTCCAACAAAGCGGCCGCTGTTTTAACGCCTTGTCTGTCCTCTGCACTGGTGATAATTTGTCATGCAGAGACAGTCCAAGAGCAGAACAAAAAAGGCTGTGTGTCCACTGTACGCGACGCGGCTAGCTAACAAGCTACATTGGAAAAAGCTCCTCAGAGTAATTCCGACGGAATAAAAGCTCGCGACATAGTCCTTGTGTTGTGGCGGGAGCTGCCAAAAAGCGACCTGCCTCCTCCTGGCGACGGCGAGTTCCAACTCCCAGAGAAACCACCGCCGTTTACAACAGACTCGGGGTGTTAATATGCCACATAGAGCGATCAACAAACAGGTTGTACGGCAGCTTCAGCCAACAGCGAGCCAGAAGCTAAAGTAAACACGGATATCCGGCCAGACTTTCGAAATAAAGCTAAGGCCAATAGACATAGAGGCTGAAACATACACCGAAAAAATGAGGTACATCAGCCATTTACAGGTCCGCACTCGCTATTTGACAGTTTATTACGCAAATATTGTCTTGTAAAAATATATGTAAAATGTCTATGCGTTTGTACTATTTGTTTCTCTGTACTTTTAAGCTATTTCACCAATGACAGATTATCATTGTTCATTATAACAGGACACATTTAGGAACCTTGACATTGATTCCATCTCATTGCAGAAGATTTATTCAAGAAATGTTCCACGAAATTACAATATATTGTAACAAAATATAATAACATTTTCATTCAATAAATAACACTGGAAGGGATCTCAAATGCGTAACGCTTTCATTACCAAATTTGACATCCATGTTTTAGATGTCATTACTTGCTTTTATTCTTAAATCACATAATTATATTGGATTACGTAAAACTTTTTGAAAAATCTCTGCAATATTACACACAAGTATTGAACCTGTTGGTAAAATAAATTATTTCAGTTCTGAATTTCAAGGCCCTGCTCTGACATGGTGATCATCACAAATGAGCTCCAGACACTGTCCAGCAGAAGAGGGAGGGGCACTTCTTGGACAGGTGAATCGTTGTTGACTGTGGTGGATGTTCCTCAAAAGCTCCAGATGACTCAAGCAAAACGGCAATCAAAAGGTAAGCTCTGGTTTGTTAGCGTGCAAGTTTTACTTTTAGGACACCTGAAAGATGAGCCATAGCTGCCAGATAGATGGAAATTAAATTACATCACTCTTTAAAAACATAAGTAAGAACTTTCTTTATTTGTGCTGATAGCTTCTCCATCTGTTTTAAAACATCTGGAAATATCTGTCAAAGCCTTTACAGTTAATGTGATTTATGGTAATCTGGAACTGAGATTGTATCAAGGATGTATCTGCCATCAAATCTCCCAGAATGCCTATCGGCCAAAAAAGTGAGCGGGGCCTTAGGGCTCTTACGTACCAGACTGATGTTCAATGCCAGAATTACATGTGGAAACAGATGTTACTGATTGCTCCAGATGTGCCCTGCAACAGATTGGCAGTTTGGAGTGTAAGAGCCCCCAAAACTAAAACTCATTAGTTTATTGGCATCTGCAGGGTGTATCAAGAATGACAGAGTAGGAAATGACACCAAAAAGTAAATCAGGGTGGCTCTGGTTTGCCTTTTAGGTGACAATAAGCCTCATATCAGGCCAATCAGAGGTTCTCCAATAGTTAGAATTACACAGGCGTAAGATAAACCTGTTTTGGTATCAAAATATTTGAAAGAAACCTTTCTGTACAAATATATATTTACAGGATTTCTGATTGTACAGTGATTTGCAACATCAAGTACAGACCAAACTATTTGTGTTTAAGAACCGGTGTATATAGGCTGTAAATTCCAGCCAGCAAACCTTCAGTCCAAAAAAAAACAGACGCGTCCACAAACTTGAAGACTTGGCCTAGTTTTTGAGGCTCAAGCAGTGTGCACGCATCTGATTAGATTACACGGGAGCCCCCTGAAAGCTCAAAGCAGTGCCCAGCAGCTGAGCTCCCAGCTCTGCCCGCTGCCCCCCGGTGAGGAATTCTGCCGACAGCTCCCTGTACGTGCTGCAGACCCTGCGTGCGCGGATATCCTCTCTGTGGATGGCATGTTTCCATCGGTGCCTCGCCTCGCCGTGCAGCACGACCAGAGCTCTGCGAGGAAGACGCACGGACACTCGGACCTCCCCCGCCAGCCCCAGCCCTGGCAGGCCCTGCTCCAGGGACATGGTGAGAGTGGTGTCCGACAGCATGTTGAGGGTGACCAGCCGCTCCCCCCACAGCCAGGAGTCATCCAGGTGGGGGTCGATGGCCGAGCCACGCTGGGGATGGTAGTCCAGGTTGCACTGTTCCACAGGCTGAAAGTCGGCCAGGCGTGGGTCCTGCTGCATCCGGAGTACCAGGTTTTGGCTCAAGGCAGGAAGTCCGCTGAAGGCACCGACGCGCACTTTCTTTTTTTTAAAGTTCACCTTTGGGCCAAAGTCCTATAACCACAGGAGGGGAGTATGTTGTTTGTCAAAAGGACATTAGGCAATCATTAAAAAAAAAAAATCCCTCTCTGCAGTGCTAAAGAAGAGAATACAGATTTTCATTCGGTGAGTCCATCGTTACCTGTTTCCTTCGCCCAGACTGGGACTGATTCCACATATCCTGGTCCATTGAGCTAATCAGCTCCATTTCCTCCTCCACTGAAATAAAGTCCTCCCACACCAGGACACCAGGAAAAGGGAAGGTGACAGCCTCCGCATCTTTGCAGACAGCGAGCTCCGACTCAGGATTGTAGAGGAAATGATGCACGAGCTTCGTACAAAGACAAAAGACAAAGCAGCACTTTAAAAAAGAAGTCGAAGTGTTGATGTTTTACTTTGGAAAGATGCACTGGATCCAATTCAAAATAAAAATATCCGTTACCATCTTTGTTCATTTGCTTGACTTATTCTTTAAGACGCTATTTTTGGTCATGCTTGGTCACCTTACAAAGAATTAGGAAAATATGTTTACAAATGCTTAAAACCAACATAGCCTTAGATAATGATTGTAGGCAAATGATTCTAAGCTCAATTTAATAGCCTGCAAATCAGCTACCTGACAGCAAATGTTTTCTTTTACCAACATGGCTTGAATATGACCTGCTATAAAAATGCTTTTTAAAATTTTATTTGCGCTATTGATAATAATTCTCAAGATTCTCCTGTCCCCTCTTTATGACATGGAAATTAATACATTGTGTATACGCTGTGTTTATTTTATGCATTTGCAGATTTTTTTTTAAATTATAGCATCCATGGTTTCTTTTTCCATAGTGCCAGTAAATATTTATACAATAAACTATTTTAAAAATGCTCATTTGATAACTGCATTCAGCAATGGACCACAACAGCAGTACGCAGTCCTTACATTAGTCATTTTCATGAGTAAATAAATTAAATAAAACAGTAACATTACTGATATAACTGATATCACTAATATAGCCAACACTTAAATGTCCTGCAAGGGCTTCCGTAGGTTGTCTCGATTAGTACTCATTTTTTTGGATACTGCGACACAAACAGTGCAAAACACAGTTATAAGAAGACAGGAAGTACCTTTGATTCACTCGCATCGACCTGAGCTTTCTCCTCGAAACCTTCACATAGGAGACACCGTCGGATACCTTTACAGCCGCATGAAGCCAGACCGTCGCTGCTTTCGGGTGCCATCGTCCTCCTGCATCTTCTTCGTGTGAAATGCTACTTTGGTTCGCTGAGCCACAGGAATGGCGCCACCCTGCGGAAGCAGAGGGAAGGTCAGTGTCAATTTGTTTTTTTTGTGAATATCAAAAATGTATTTAATAACAGCAATACGAAGTTAGTCTGAATACAAACAATATATATTCTAGATAGGTTTACCCTGTATACATATTTATGATATACATATTTATAAAGTTTCCGTCGCCGCCTTCTGCCTGGCAGGCATAGTTCAGGGAAGTAATGGAGCGCTTGACCACGCCCCCCGGAAGTACACAGAGTTTCCCCGGGAAACTGCATGTGTACTGTATTGGGTTTTTGTCGAAGTGGCCGAAGCGTTGGTACGTACGGTAATTTGAACCGTAAATATTTACAAATTATGAAACATGCTACTTTCTGTGCACGAATGACAAACACCCAGGGCCTGCATTAGGTATCCGGAAGGAGTGTTAGTTCTACAGAGCGAAGACAATCATTGGTTCCAACCAATTTAAATACTCGGGATTGCGGTATTGTCAAAGAATTGATCCCGATGTGACCTTCTCATATAATAAGTGGGGGGAAATTGCAAAAGCAAAAATAGAATGCCTTAATTTATTATAGCATTGGGCTTCTGTTCTTTCTACTAATCTGCCTAGATTATGTCTGATAACCATGACTATAGTGTTTGAAGATAGCTTTGGTTCTAATTAAATATTCGTAGAGCTGTAGAGATGAAGAAACACGTGTGAACCCTGTAAGCTCTCAGACGGCTAATCTTAACCCATATATCCTAATTGTTTCAGAGAAGCAATGGAGAAAATAACAGAGAAACTCTTACTGGAGAAAGGTTCACCAAAAACCACCAAACTGGAACAAATAAAGACTCTCAGGTAAGCATTTGTTTACTGTGCCAAACAACACTTGAACATGAGCCTGTTGGAATCAACGACTTGTCTCCCTTTGCTGTTCAGTCTGTCCAAGATGGGGCTGAAGCATAAGGATCTACCCGTTAGGCTCCTTTCCCGTCTGCAGGCCCTGGAGAGGTTGGATCTGTCTGGAAACACTCTGCAAGAGTTTCCAAAGACCCTGGAGCTGCCTGCGCTCCGGTGCCTGGACCTCAGCGACAACCAGATGGAAGATGTCACCACTTTGGAGCCCTTGAGCGGGCTAGAAGAGCTCAAGATGGAGGATAACCTCTATATTACAGTGAGGACCTGCCTGTTTTGTATAGTCTGACATTTTAGGTGCTCTTTGCTGCTGCAGCTTCATTACCATGACCTTTTGTGTTCCCCAGCTAGAGGGTTCACGCTTTTTTTAGGTGTGCTTTAACCATCTCAGACCTTTGTGTGTGGAGTTTAGCATATTCCCACTGAGCCTGTATGGGCTGTCTCCACAGCACAATGACTTCTTATATTATGGAAATACCACTCTTAATCATCCTCTTACCAACATTTGAATAGCTGCGTGATGTGTCAATGACTGAATTTGTTCCTAACTGGTGCTAAAATTGTGCCAATAGGGTTCAGCTTATAAAATCATCCACTGGATAATTAAATGAAAATTTAAAAGATCATAGCAATCTTTAAGGGACTGGTCAGTCTTTTATAACCACACATAATCAGACCCTCAGGAACCAAATACAGTCAGTTAACGTTTTTTTAAATCTCAAAAAAACAAATGGCTAGTCAAGACATACAAGTGTCTCTATTTGAATATTACTCCAAAATTTAAAGAGTAAAATTGGCCCCTCAGTCCCCTCATTGTGTTTTCCAAAGGTTTAATTGTGTTTTGAAAGGGGTGCTCTGGGGTTAAACAGTTAGTAAAGTACCAGTTGTAGTGGTTACTTTACACGGCATACATCTGCTTAGACTCTGCTTACGTTGCTTTTATTTTAGGTGAGCGACAACTACAAGCTGATGGTGTTGCTGCCCAGTCTGAGGATGTACAACGGCAAAGATGTTAGCACAACCGCCAACCACCTGCGTTATGTCTACACTGAAAACCTGAGGACCAGGGTAAGAAACTGGCGGTTAGAAGTCGGTCTTGGTCTCACTGGCCTTTGGATTGCATCATGTGTTTTATGCATCATTTTAATGAGTTCCTGCAGTATCACAGCATTTGTCTTTCTGCAAAGCTGCAAAGAAAATGTCCATAATTATTATTATTTTTAGTGTGAATTACCTTATGGTGGATGCTTTAGTAATATATGTTCCTGAATTAGACTGTGAAATGTTTCTTTTTTTTAAGAAAACATTTGCCTTACCTTAAGGGAGTACAGCAGTTTTCTTTTTTTCTGATTTTTTTGTGCTCACGTTGTTGCCTTTTAGGTAATTGCTGTGTGGGAGAGAAGCTTTAGCCTCCCTGATCCCATCACCACTGAGAAAATGTCTGCCTTGGAAAAGAGCTTTGTGAGCACTGCCTGTCAGCAGGTTAAGTTTGGACCCAGTTCAGTCAGTGATTTCACCAGATGGAAGGTAATATTGGGCTGTTTGAAACTATCTGTCTTTTTCCTCTCAGTTTTTAAAGATGAACCTTGAATAATATTCTCTTCTTTTTTACTTTTAGGTGGAGATTATAGCTAAAGATTATCTACGCTCACTAACAGAACCAAAGGAAGACACTGACGGAAAGGAGTTGGAAACTAAAGACAACTGTGTAAAAGTTTTTTTTCTTGGGGGTACAACGCAAAACAGATTTTTTATTAAATCTGGACGAACCCGAGCCTTACGCGTGCATATTTGTTTTATCCAGGAGGTGTTGACACCTTCCAAGAGGAAACAAACTGAACCAGTAACAGACAACGTGAGCCTGACCCCTCGCAAAAGGCTGTGCCCGGATCCAGCCTCTCCAGCCAAACGCAGCCCCCGCATATCCAGCCTCAAACTCCAGAAAATAGCACAGACCAACCTGAGCCCACAGAAGAAAAACAAAGCCCCCTGCACTCCCACCAGAGGCAAGAAGAGTGTGGATTCGCCCGGAACCCCCAAAGCAACACCAACCAAAGAGGACGGAGCTCAAAATGAAGCGGTGGAGGACGTCAGAGCCTCACGGCCGCAGAGGGGGGTTTACACACTGCCCATAATCAGGACCTGCAGCAAGGCACAGGTACGGTGAACACACTCGCTCTAAATCACTGTCATTCCAATTTGTTGTAATGAAAGGTGGATGTTTCTGCATGAAGATAGCCCTTAAGAAATACTGGTGACTCTTATGAGGAAAAAGAAAAATGACATCTGTTCCCTTTTGGTAAACAGAGGACAGCCACACCAGTGTGTGTGCTCACACACAGGAAGGAACTTCTGCCGAATCAGCTCTGTTATGACGGGGGCTGGTGATCTGGGCATGACTGTTTTATAGACAGCATTTCTCAGCATTTTCTCTTCTCTTACTGCGTCCTTTCCCCATACTGCGTCAGTAAAACAAACTATTAGTTCAGACCTCTGGTTCCACCCAAACAAACACCAAGAGATCTTGCAACTTAAAGAAAAAAATACAAAAAGATAAAACGCCAGAGAAGAGCTTTATTATCTAGACAGAATACATTGGTGTCCGAGATAAAACGATCCATCCCTGAAATACAGCTTCCAGTTAACCCATTTTACGATCCATTATATTTTAAAGTGACATGGCCGAAATGGCAAGAGAGCACTTAACAGGATGAGTGCAGTTCCTGTTTGTTCTCTTGGTCGGTGTCTCCTGTAAACACCGGGTCACTACCAGACCAAATAAAGACGGCAGATGTGGAAACAATCCACCCATCAGCTTGTTTAGCCATCGGTTGGTTAATGCCCGGTTCCCGTCTGTCTGCCGTCCACCCCACAGCAGCCGGTCGGTCTGAAGCCCCTCCATGTGCTCCAGTGCCACAGTAAGCAGGACAGGTCGGACGACTTCTCCACGCAGCTGTGGGCCTGTGCCTTCCAGCCACTGCCTCATGCATCCGGTACCGACAAAGACTTCCTTTAAAACAATGTCATTTCAGCGTCGTGCTGTTCTTAACTGTTAACTCTCGTAAACAGATGTTTTTTTCTTTGTCATTTAAAAACCCTGTCTTGTTTCCTGCGTTAACAGGAAGTGGGGAGGGGACCCGCTTGGTTGCCACCTGTGGAGGAGACTCTCTGTGCGTGATCGACTGCGAAACAGGGATGGTGATGAAGAAATACAAAGTTCCTGGAGAGGTCAGTTCCACTAACTCTGACATGCCATTATCAAAATATGTATTATTTGTAAGGCTTGTAATTAGTCATTCAGAAGGCTAATTTAATTTGTTTAAAAAAAAAATTTTTTAAGACAACATAGAAAAGGACAGTAAAATCCCAAACAACCCCACCCTCATCAAAAACAATCAAGGATGTTGAATGAGAGAAAAAAAACAACAACAACAAATACAAACCAACAATCAAAATAAAAATTTAAAATAGTAAAATAAGATACTACTACCAATGAATAAATACAAAAATCTTTTTTAATGAAAGGCGTGTCAGCTTCCCCCAGCACTGCCCTTCCAGTTTTATTCATTGATTCCAGTTTTATTCATTGATTCACTTTCAAAGAACTGTGTAAAAGTGTCCCATATCTCTGAACTTGCTCAGTTTCCCCTTTGGCAACATAACTTAATTTCGCCAGTGTCAAACATGACGCCATTTCCCGTTACCACATTCCCTGTGTGGGGCCATCCAAGCTTTTCCACCTCAATGCCATCACTCTCCTGGCCTGAAGGAGGGATAAATCAACCAAGGGAGCATCATGTCGGTTACATCTTTCCAAAATGCAGTGCAGCAGAGTGCCAACAAGCTACCCGTTTGGGGAGAAGGGCCATTTCTAAGTGAGAACCTGTCTGTTGTTCTGTGCAACAGGAGTTCTTCTCGCTGGCCTGGTCCACAGTCTTGATGTCCAGAGGGGACAAAGCCGCTGCCCAGTTCTGCAGCGTCCTCGCTGCCGGCGGAAAGAGAGGCCTGGTAAAACTGATCCATCCCAGGAACAACCTGGCTTATGGGGAGTTCCGAGCCAGCCGGAAGGCCGTGTCCGTCCTCCGCTTCAACCACCAGCAAGAAAACTTCCTCTTTAGTGAGTTTTTATTTTTTTGTGTACAGAATGCACCACACTTTTATCTGACCAGAAGAAACCTTGTTTGACATGCAGACAATTTGTAAATAAAGTTACACTTTAAAGTTATTGAGGGAAGAGAGCAAATGAATGGATTATCCATGCTGACAGTTGTAACATCCACTGGTTACACTTTTATTTTGGACCTGACACAGTAAACTGGAGCCAAGTTACTGCTCATGTGTAACCTCTTTTAGCTTTTCTCCATGTGTACGACCCCAGCATTTATTCATCTCTCTCTTTACCTGCTCCCTCAACTTTCCCATGTGTGACAACCGCTGCTTTCTTGTGGACATGACGGGCTGTTGTTCCTAGTGGCTCATATTTTGACCTAGTTTTGTTCAAGTTGCGCTTTCAGTTAACTCTTGTGTTTGGCACGTCACAGCGGGATCGTACGACAACAGGATAGTGATGTGGGATATCGGTGGAGTGGACAGCCACTACAACTTCAAAGTCGTGTAAGTATTGGTCAACAGATCGTTTATTTATTTATTTATTTTTATCCTAGCTGTGAATAATTTGCCCTCCTTTTGAAGTAACTGGTGTATTTTTAGTAAAAAAGGAATCAACAATAAATCTACTTGTTCAGTGATACAGTCCTACTGGACTCAGACCTGAACTTCACATTAACTCAGCGTTCTTTTACCATCTCAAAAACATTGCCAGAATCTGGAATAGCTTCTAAACCAGACCTAGAAAGACTGGTTAAAGCAGGTTAGACTACTGCGACGGCCTGCTCACTGGGCTCTAAACCAGCTGTAACAGAGCTGCAGAACATCCAGAATGCTGCAGCTAGAGCTCTGACTAGAACCAGGAAGTACGACCATATGAGTCCACTGCTCAGGCCTCTGCACTGGTCACTCAGAGAATAGACTCTAAAAACGGCTCTGCTTGTGTTCAAGTCTCTTCATGGTCAAGCGCCAAAGTACATGTCTCACATGTTAGAGCCATATGAACCAACACAGACTCTGAGAACCTCAGGTTCTGGTCTCCTGCTGGTGCCCAGAGTCAGAACCAAACAAGGCGAGGCTGCGTTTCAGTTTTATGCTCCTAAAATCTATCTGGACCTCTTCCTGAAGAGGTGAGACAGGCCTCAACTCTGACAAAGTTTAAATTCAGGCTGAAGACGGTTCTGTTTAAAAGTGCATATGAAAACCTTCACTTTTAATCAATGTCATTTATTTAGTTGATTCATTGTCTTTATCTTTACTTTCTGCTTTTAAACTCTTTGTAAAGCACTTTGAATTGTCTTTTACGCGACATGTACTGTACAAATAAACTTGCCTGGGCTTACAGTAATGAGATGCTCAACTTTCTGTCTGCATAGCCAGCTGCTGGTGTTGGAGATCAGCACCACTCCTCTGCACATCTGCCTCCCCCCCTCATCTCCCAGCACACACCTCCTGACTGCCTGTGAGGATGGCTTGTACTCCTTCAACACACAGCTAGGCGCAAACCGAGCCACAAAGAGGTAAAGTCCCTCCCGGTGGGTCCAGATTTACAGTGCTGTCCCTGAGCCACCCCTCAGTTCTTCGCATTTCTGTTCCAAGCGTCTCGACTTTGAGTGTTATTCACTTACCAGCTATTTAGATTTCGTCTGATATGTTAGTTCCTCTTCAGTCACTTCATTGCAGTCCTTGTTGGCATAAGTGACAATTTTCCACCCTCAAATACACACATTTAAGCTTTTAAAATTATTTTTACTAGCAGTTAATAGTATTTTTTTTTTTTTTTTGAGTTTTTCTTTTTAAGCAGCACCGACATGAAAAATCAACTACATAAATTGAATGGATGGAATATCAGATTTTTGTATCATCAAGGCCTCCATACCTCCATAGAGGTATTTGCTAAAAACATGGCATAACGGGTCATCTGGAGGACAAGAGAAGTGGCAGCCAAAAAAAGAAATATTACAAAAATCTCAAAGGGACAGAATGAAATTGAGACAGAAAAGAGGTCAGACGACAGATGACTTATTCCACCATCATCGAACGACACATGAAAACATTCTGGATTGCTTAAGGAGGCACTGCCAGTACCCTGTGTGTGGAACGAATAGCCCATAAATACACTTTGCATACAGTACTGTACTTTCTGGCTCGACTGCTATTGAACTGTTATTTTTCTCTGCAGGTCAAAAGAAATGGAGATAAATTTCCCAATTTATAAGAAGGAGGACAAAGAGCATGACTTCCACACCATCGACGGCTTGAGTTTTCTTACGGACGACATAGTGGGTATGTTGGATTTCTTCGTTGTAACTACAATCCACTGTAGCCATTCACAGGACCCGTGAGCGTTCCCACTGAGCTGGAAACTTTGAGTCATACTGGATATAATTAGGGCCTCTAGCCATGCCTAAGATAGTCATTGTCAGTCAGTACACCAGTTTGGGCAGATTGAATGTGAAGTAGTTCTAGATGGAGGTCACATGATGGTGCTGGTACACACTTTAAAACCAGTTACCAGTTAGCTAGTTGAGGCTGTGACTCCTTGTAGAAACAGTGTACATTACATAAAGGGCACTATTTTTGAAACTTGGTTGTTAACTGATCACAATCAGGACAGTTTTATTTTATTTTCATGCTTTCCAAGTTCCCAAAAGACATGAATTCAGCTCATTTAGCTCTTCCATGTTTGCCTGTCATTACGGTAGCATCTAAGAGCCACATGCATGGCTGCATCTACCTGTGGAGCTGGAGCAGAACCAAAGCTCTGAGGCCGGACAAGAAGAGCGGGGGTGTGTGTGCCGTGGTCCTGGCCGAGCTCCAGTGGGCCAACACAGAGATTCCATACCTGGCCCTCAACACCTGTCCAAGTGAGTCCCAGCTCATCCCGTCCACGAGCCCATCTCCATTTCACCTTTTCTTTGCACTTTTTAATAACCTTTCGGTGTACGTCACACCAAACTTTGTCAAATTATCTGCACTCAGTAACCTATTGTGTCCACATAAGAAGGTTTGCAGCAATCTGTTATAAAAAATAAATAAATAAAAAAGATAAAATTATATATATAGAATATATATATATATTTTTTAATGTACAATTATTAAATTTTTTTAAGTAGATTTTATAATAATTTTTATACATTTTATAAATAATTTTATAATATAATAAAATCCTGAACCTGTGTGTTTCCTCTTTAGGCCGAGGCTATGTGGTGTGTGGCGACGACAAAGGCAGGTTGTGGACCTACCATGTCACCAACCTCCAAATAAACAGCTTTCGGACTGGGAAGCCCATCCAAGCAACTGAGGTATCCAGCTAAACCTTTGAAATATTTCTGGCTTTTAACTTGACATTTGTTTGCCTCCATTTGAAAAGGTTGGAGCAGGACACTGTTAGAAATGAAAATTCTCAGAGCTGCACGATTCCCTTTTGTGTTACAGTTACATAACAGCTATCAAGTTAGTACTAGAGATGTGGGAACGTGCTGGTTTTACAGTAAAGCAGGCGGTTGGTCACTGTGTAAACAGCCGGGCTGTAAGCAAACCTCCACATCAGCCAAACAGTGAGCCATCCATTACAGGCAGCTCTTACAGTTTCTTACTGTTTGGCTCCGTTCAGCTGTGTTTATGCAACATGCTGGACGTGCTCACTATTTGTCTGACCTCCATTTTACTCTGAAAAGTCAAAAGAGAATCCTTTACACCAGGAAATGCCACTGGATAAAAACCGTGATGTGATTAATCTTCCCGATAAGGGTCATAAAACCACACTGGAAAAATTCTGTTTTCTAGAAACATCCCATACTTGATTAATTTAACTTATTTTGTCTCTTTGGGCCTAACTGCATGAGGATCCAAATCAGTTTGCTGTGTTTTGGCAGGTGTTGGAGTGGCCGTCTCCTATGAAGAGTGGCCTCGGTCACATGGAGGGGCCCTCCATCAACAGCGTAGCAATGGATCCCGAGCTGCAGTACCTGGTTGCCCTGAGCGACAAGAATATGGTGATAATATGGAAGAGAGAGGAGTCGTCCTGAGCCCATTAAAGAATTTATGGTTCTTTTAGACATAAAAATACTTTTTAATCCGACCAGGATGGAGTTTGTAGAAACACATTTGTGCTTTTATTCATGTAAAAGGTCAAATTGGAAGTACTGTAAAATCTGACAATGAATGAAGTACTGATGGAATTCACATTTCTGAATCCACACGTTGGAGCAAACGTCAACATTTTACTCAGAGACTTTATTATGTTCAAGATCTAAACCTTTTCTGTTTGTTTTTTAGATTTATATTTGTAACCTGTCTGTAAGGCTTTGCACACTAAAGGAAAACATTAGTAAGAATAACTTCTAAAATTTTAAAATGATTTTGAATCTTTTACACTGAGTTGTAATTTTTGTGGGTTGGCATGAAACTCAGATTTCATTAGTGAAGAGTTGGATGAATAATCTCATGTAGTAAAGTGTGAGTAAAGATGATGTTACCATGTGGCAAAACTATTGTTTGAAATTGACCATTTGTCACAATATTTCATGGTATCGTATGTGTGGTAAAATGCAGATTTAGAAACAATTCAAACCTCTTTTGTTGGGTCTTTAACTTTTTAATGTACTCTATTCTCCGGATAAATGTAACTACACAGCTAGCACACTTTTGAAACTCTGTCCATCCACTGTCAGCAAAACAGTTTGAAGAACTCGTTTAAACTGGATGACATTTGCCTTTTAGTTTGAAACTAAAAAATGAACAAGTTGGACTTATTCCTCACATTTTAAAAACTACTCTAAAAGCTCTGAAGACACTTTACCTCAGCACATTAGTAGAATGTACATTCAGTTCCGTTAAATATGTTCTAGTCCTGATTCAAAATGTCCTGACACTAGTAAAACACAAAGTCGGCAAACTTCTTTGGAATGAGCAAGGAGCCAGACTCGAGATGGAGCTGTGTAATTAAAGCATTCTGAACAGAAAACATGTCATTTTAGTCCTTCAGTGGTGGAATTCTGAACTGTACACAATCCTGTTTGTGCAAAGGCTCCTTAAAGCTGTATATGAACTACGATGGAAACCAAATGGCCCTTTTTTTTCCTTTTGTGCCAGCCATGTCTGTTAATTTTATGAATGAATACCTTTGTATAAAAATCTGTTACCCATTTTGCTTTATATATAAATAGGGAAGATAAAATTTGGAGACAATTTTTCTAAAAACAACTTTATACTTACCTTATACGGCATTTTCCTAAACTTTCAAACTTTTTAAATTATTGGAATTTTACAGGAAAAAACAATTTTGGTTAAAAAAAAAATACAAATAAAAAAGGAATCATTTAGAAAGAAATCCTTTCTCCAAAGCTTTTCGGAATAACTAAAGGTGAGGAAGCTACTATCTTTGTATTTATTTTTTAATGCGTAAAAGACACAGCTAACAAAAACGGATAATGATCACTGCCACCAAAATAAAAGTCAACCAACAACTCAAACTTCTTCAGCTCTACTGGAAATAAACTAATGTGGGTTGAAAGGGAATTAGATCTAAATCGTCTCGGTAAATAATATACTGTACAAGGATAACTACTAACAGACGGGCCATCCTAATCACTAACCACCTGCAGATAATTTGGCTGACTTGAAGGAAATCTGTGAAATATAAAAGATTTAATCCAAAGTCAACTTTAGGCTTTTTAAAATATGAAATATTATACTATTTTTTTCCAAAAGGCTTTGGATAAATAACATCTTAATTGGTTGGATCCAGAAGTCAGCTATTCCAAAAAAAACCATTGATCACTAACTACTGCTGCAGTGCCGTGATGTACAGTAAAGTACAGTATGTGCTATGGGTCTCACAGAGGGGCGTGGATACTCTTGGCCCCGCCCCCAACCGAAAGACGATTGGCTCGGTTGTCATGTCGTCGCCTCAGATTTTCGCCTACTGGCCTATGCGCACAAAGGCCTTTCTGTACCCTCTCCCTACTGTATTCAGATAAGTGCCTTTGTGCACTAGCACGACGCGACCCTAATGGCCTCGTAGCAGCTGTTGAATTGAGTGTTTTTAAGGCAACAGGCCAGCCCTGTTCGCGCTCGCAGCTCGTCTCCGAATGCGTACGGGACTTGCCGGCAAGACGGTGGAGATGCTGAGCGCCGCCGCCAGCAGGACCCGGCCGAGGCTCGGTAGCCTGTTAGTGGCCACCGCTACCAAAACATTATCCCCGTTACCGAGCACCGAGTGCCACAGATTTCGCTCCACATCCTCGATGCAGGGATTTTCAGAGCTGGCAAGAGAGCGGTCGAAGACTGTCACGACGTTTTACAACCAGTCTGCAATTGACGTTTCGGCAGAGAAGGTAAGGAAGTGATGAAGTCATATTCTGCCGGTGTTCTCCACCGGGAAGGTGGTTCCACATCTGTGGCGACGGGAGAACAAGCTAGCGGATTGGTACCAAAGCTAGCCGTTAGCATTTACGGTGCTGCGTTCAGTGACACACAAATAAAGGCAGAAGAGACTTATTTCTTCAGCTCGTCTCTCTGTCCCATCAATTTCCGGAGCTGACATTACGTGAGGTCACGTGCAACTCTTGAGCTAATTTACGAGTATAATTTGTATATATATTTTTTAGTAATATGGAGAAATGTGTCACCGGCAACGAATCACCTGTGGCTAAAGCATGTCAGTAATCCTGAATTTATGAACTACAACATTTGTGACACAACAGTTTCTCTTGAAATGATACCGTTTGGAATATGTACTGTTCAAATGCAGAATTGTCCATGGTTCTCTTAGCTGTTGGGTTACCTGTTATTTTAGCATACTGTACAGCTGTATAAAGTTTGTGAATGAATTTGCAGCAAAGACGACCTTCCTTTGGTTTTGACAATAAGTGGAAAAACAGGAAAGCAACAGCTTTAAACATGAAGCTTCTAATGAAACATTCCATATGAGTGTGAGGATTACGTAAAGAACAATAGCTGCGGGTGTAAAGTTTCAAAGATGGGGATGAAGTTGACCCAGTTTTTAGAGCGTTAGCTTAGCTTTTTTATAAGGACTTCCTTTTAACGCCTCAGACCAATAATAAGCTGTGAATTTTGTAACTTCTTGTCAAAAACCTGACCCGAAAACACTGGTGTTGAAGTATGCTGCGCTAGCTCTGGTGCCACAACCTGCTGACTTTGTCTCTGCCACAACCTTTCCCTCCTCACAATGCCTGGCAAAACCAAATGCTTTTGTTCCAGGCCAAAAGCCAGTGGGCTCCTTTCCAAACAAATGTCCTTTGACCTAAATATTTAGCTGAGCAAAATGGATACAGCAAATACTTCTTCACAGTGAGAAAAAAAAGAGGAAGGAGCTAGCAGCTGGTGAAGACTAAAGTGTACTCATAAAACTTAACATACTTGAGTCTGTTTAAAACGCCTGAATAAGGTAACTGAATAGCTAACGGCCTCTGGTCCACCGATCAGGCAGATTGAAGTCAGCCACACGCTGCCTTGTGACTCATGCTTGCGCAGTGATGTGGTGCAGAAGTTCCCAGATTTGTTGGGTTCACCGAAGGATTACATGGATCGCACTGGAAAGATTCCAGTTTTAACAACTTTGTGGTTGACTTGCCAGCAAGTTTATCCTCCGCTTTAACGTGCCAGGTACACTTCAACATAATTATCCCATTCTTTTCAAACCGGCCAACGTTTTTCCCACAGCTTCAGAGTAACCACAGCTCCAAGGTCTGATTAGAAAGGCCTCCTGGTGTCAAGTGCCTGCTGAGGCTCATTTGTTGTTTGGTATCTTTTAGGGAGATCTGATCTGGGTGTGTAACAGACCACCTGCAGATGGGATCTGCCCACTCCAGTCTTGTGCTTATTTTTGAGGGGATTTAGTTTTTTTGTCTTTGTTGAAAATTTGTTAAAAACAAGGATTCTGCTCTTTGTTTTTTTTTTTGCTCATACCTAAAATAAACCACAGAAAAAGAATACCAGCCACCTGTAGAAGGTCTGGTTTAAACTATAAGAACTTTCCGGACACTTTTCCTGGTAGTCCCAGCAGCTGGGGAGGGTCCTACACCCCGGTATGTGTAAGCGCTCTTTTCAAGCATGTTGCATAACATGATTTCGCCCGTGTCACAGTGCCCCTCACACATCTGTAACTTGATCCGGCTGCTGCACAGCGAGAGATTCCTTTTTAAGACGCGTCCCACATTTCTCCCCTGTAATGCACAGGCAACAGCGATTGTGGCCGTGCAGCAAATCAGGACGGATCAGAGTGGTTGTTCATTGAAGAAATGAACCACTTCCAGTCAGGGAAATGTTATGCAATGGGTGAAACTGACTGGCAAAAATCCCTTTCCAGTAAATCTGAAAAAAGTTTAAGTTAAAATAGCTTGTAAAGCCAAATAATAACAACCACAATTGTTGCTGAACATAATGCCAATGTGAGTGGAACACTGAAATACAGAAGAAAGTTTATGAAATTAAAGCTAAGAAAAATAGATGGAAAATAGTTTTAAAAAGGCCACATAAAAACAGCTTAAGTAGAAACTAAAGATTTTCACTAAGATTTGTCTGACACTAAAAGATTGAGCAAAATTATTCTAACTGTAGTTGATGTTTAATAAAAAATCCACATTAAAACCTTCTTGGTTGACAGCGTATGTGTGAACACATTTGATTCCTGTTTCTTTTGTTAGAGATGTCTGTGTATATGTGTTTTGCTTTCTTGTGCCACATGATCTGCGGCTGTGTACTGTGTACTGATCCTGTGTATCATATCCTCCCCAGGCCTCAGTGCGACTCACCTTAGCAACCCTATTGTACTCTGGGAAGTCTCCCGATGGACACCACATCCTGGTAAAAAAAACATTGCATTCCCCTCTGAGAGAGCAGCTCAGGTTAAACGAGCCATCTGCTAGGAGTCTACTCAATGGATTTCTGCTCTTGTCTGTGTGTGTGTGACCTCAGAGCAGTGCCAAGTACCTCCACAAGGAGCTGCCTGTACGGATCGCTCATCGCATCAAGGGCTTCCGCAGTTTGCCCTTCATCATTGGCTGCAATCCCACCATCCTGCAAGTGGTAAGAGTACAATGTCTTACTTTTGACTCTGAGAGGCTGCAGTCAAACCTCTGGGATGGACCCAGGTGGACCGGAAACATTAAATCATGGGAGGAAAAAAGAGAGAGGACAGGTTGTTGTATTAGGGATATTTGTATATAGTGTAAAAGAAACTGTGGATCTGATGTTCTGACCACCTGATTTATTTACGTTTAGATCAATTAAGTGATCAGAATTTGGTACTTTGCGTTTAGACGTCATGGTCCTACTTTTAGATTACATTGTTTACGTCTTCTCAAATAGTCAGTTTGTTAGGATCCAGCTTCTTCTGTCAAATTGTAAGACGAGATCTTTCAGACGCACCGACACACAAGGAACAGTCTTCAGAATCATTCATTATCATTTTTTAAACATAACCTTGACCAAACTAAACATTTCGGTAGACAAAAGTAGCTTGGGATACCGTAGCTAATGGTCGTGCCTTCGAAAATACACATCATGACGTAAAAGCTGCTGTCCACACAGCCCCGCTGCTTTCTCCATACAGAGGGAACCTACTGCAGACTAAATATTCTGTGTTTGGGTTCAATCCCGAGCCAAAAGCAAAGACGCTGAAAATCTGACCTTAACTCTACTTGGACATAGTGCAAGTTCCACGTGACTCGCATGTCAAGGCTTTTTATTTTCTCCAAATGCCCCATGTAAGACCATTTGCCACCACAATGCACACTGATATCAGCGTCTCTGGGATCTAAGAGCAGGTCTACATATCGTGCAGCCACTTTTTCTCCGTGGGCCCGTTTTAACTATTGTCCCTGCCGATGAACTCTCACCCACATTCCCCTGCCTCTGGCATCTCAGAGCTTTCTGGGCCGATTGCATCAAACCTGGCCCCCTTTTGTATCCCACCGCTTGCGATGTAGGTCAGCTACTCGGACTCGGGTCTTTCAGACGTCGGAGCAGAAAAATCTCAGTGTGGTCCACTCATTTGAATCTGAATGTGTTGTTTTTGTGTTGTGTTTAAAGAAAAAAGTCTTGTTTAATGAGCAGTTACACAGAAGAAACTTGTCCCGGGAAAGAATTCTGTGGTGCTCAACAATCTAAGTCACATGAGGCCTTGTTGGGCGCTGTGGGGCCCGGTCAGGGGCCGGTGCTGCTGCTGGTGGCGGGAATGGACTCTAACAGAGACTCTGTCTAACTATAGCCTGCATTTCTCCTCCTCTTTCCTACAGCATGAACTGTATATCAGAGCCTACCACATGCTCAGTGACTTTCCCCAGGTGAGTGTTGCACACACACACACACGCTAACTCATAAAAACTGGAAATACAGGAAAAAGCCTTGCATATGCACTGGGAGAGAGGTCAAAAGTTCAAGTGCGCCACATCTGAGAGAGGGGTTTAGTACCCAGCAATGCTTGTTTTAGCCTTCAAGTAGCTCATCCAGGATTCCTGAGCTGTCCTTAAATTCCAGCCATCCAGCAGAGGATCCACATCCTATTTATTTAACGCAGCTTCTCGCCCGACAAACAACAGGTGCAGAAAAAACGACTCTGGTTTTCTAGGAGATATAGACAAAGAAAAGCCACAATCTTTTGTTTGCTCTCCTTTTCCTCTCTTTTCTCTTCCGTGACTCTCTTTCTCCCACATCTTACGTCAAAGTAGCAGAATAAACAGTTCCACCCCACATCGCCGTATTATAAACACATATCACATCGTGACAGAAAGCACAAATTCTCCACCGAGCTACAGGAATAATATCCTGGGACATATAAACATGCCTAACTCTTCTGCGCTGCTCATTACGATCCAGGCTCAGAGGAGCAGGAGTGGACAGAGGTGACTGGGGAGTCTAAATCTAAATGGATGTAATAAGAAATAACAGAGGGAACAACGAGGCGTCTGCACCACATCTTTCCAGTCCTTGTTTGACAATAAGATTGAGCAGCTTTTTTGCCTCGGCCCTGTTTTTTAAAAGTGATTATTGTTTAGTGTTTCTTGGTCCTTGTTAAATGTGACAAGCGTTTCCCGCCTCACGCCTGTGTTCGTTCAGGCCAGATCACCGATCATGTCAGACCCGCTGAGGATTTATTGATTTATTTTTCTCCTGCTGCTTTCACCTGTGCTGTCAAAAGGGGATTTATAGAAATGAATTGAATAGGAGATAAAGAGAAAAGGCAGTCGTGTCTGATTTGAAAGAAAGGCCAAGAAGCTCTGTTAGAGAGGAGCCAAAGTAACTCAGGAACACAGTAAATACACTCAGACCACGGACTTCTTCTGACCCCTCCCAGGTCATCTGTTCATGACCTGTAAAGTAAAGTTGAATAACTCTTGTTTGCTTTAGAAATAAAGTTGAACTCACTTCCAACATGCAGTAGAGTCAATAGAGTCTGGCTGATAAATGTCGCACTGAAAAGCTTTTGCCCTCATAACTGCAATTTATAGTGACAATTGACGTTTGGCTTTTCCTTTTTTCCCCCCCTGACCAGATCAAGGATCAGGACGTGGAGGCTCGCTTCTGCAAACTTGTACAGCAGCTGCTGGACGACCACAAAGATGTCGTCACGATGCTGGCCCAGGGCTTCAGAGAGTGTCGCCGGCACATCCAGGTATAGCGGCAGCCGCCCCCGGCCAGAGGTTTCTGCTTTCTGGGCCGGTGCCAAGCGAATTAAAACCCCCCTTTTCTCCAATTTACAGGACGAAACCATCATCCGCAGCTTCTTGGACACGACGCTGTGCTCTCGGCTGGGAATCCGAATGCTGGCCACGCACCACCTTGCCCTTAATGAAGACAACGTACGTCCGAACATTAACGTGTCAATCACAATGTTTTTTCCTCACATTTGGTCACATTTTCCGATAAAACTGCCTGCTGCTCATAGTTCCCCCCAAAATGTTTCTGAATATCATTTGAGACAGTTTATAATAACATGTAGGGACAACTAAGTGCTCTCCTTGTTTCAGCCTGATTTTGTGGGGATCATATGCAGACGCCTCTCTCCCAAAAGGATCATAGAGAAGTGGGTGGACTTTGCCAGGTGAGTGTTTGCCTCGGCTCTGTTTATTTAGTCACCTTCCGATGACTTCCTGCCCCCGTGAGCTCATTAGAGTCAGAGGTCAGCTTATAGATATGTTGGAGAGATATGAGCTGTCACACTTGTTTGCCCTCTGTAATCTTATCAGGTGACCTTTTACAAGTTAATGGCTTTTTTATGACTCTTGGTTTCAGGTGATCAGAGTCTTTTTTTTTTTTTTTTTATTTAAGTCGTGCAACTTCTCTTTTTGCTTGATATATTTGAAATCTTTGAATTCCCCTTCTTCTGTGTACATGTAAAGAAAAAAAAGAGCTTTTGAACAGTGGAACTCACAATAAAAGAGAAGCCAAAAGTATCCAGACAGTGCTTTCTCCCCATTTTCAAAGCCTCCAATATATTTATTTTAACCTACGCGAAGTCTGCTTCACAGATTTAAAGTGTTCGAAAAATACTAAAAACAATTAAAATAGGATAAAGACGGAAACGCTGCAATTTAAAACCTGCAAACAGAACGATTTTATTGTGAGTAAATGCTTGAATTTTAAGGGAAAATGTATGTTTATTATAGATTTCATGATATAACTTTTCACTTTTCATACTTTATCAGATTGTCACTAAACAGACAATCTGATAAAGTATCCCAGAGATTGTAATATCTAGGGCTCTGCCATCAGAGAGGGGTTTCCTTTTCCACTTTGCTAACATGAACTTGTGTCTGTGTGTGTTTTAATATGAAAAAATATAAAAAAGTTAAATAAAATAAAGAGGGAAAAGCTGCAATTTAAAACTAACAAATAGAAAAAAATTATAGTCATTACATCCATGAAATTTCAGGATTGAAAACAAAAATTATATTTATGTTTTATTAATAAGATAGAACTTCGAGCTGGAATTATTTGTCCCGTGACAATCTGATTAAGTTTCCCAGAGGTTGTAATATCTGGGGCTCTGTTTCCATTTCCACTTTACTAACATGAACTTGTCTCAGTTTGTGTTTTAATATGGAAAAATCTCTTTTTCAGACGTCTTTGTGAGCATCAGTATGGCAACTCGCCCAGAGTGAGGATCAACGGCCACGTCGCAGCTCGCTTCCCCTTCATCCCTCTGCCTCTGGACTACATCCTGCCGGAGCTTCTCAAAAACGCCATGAGGTAGCCTGGGCACCCATTTCCCTTCTATACCCGACACTCAGGGTAAAATCAGGAGAGAAACATAGAAGATTTTATATGCGTCTGTTATCTGTTTAGCTGTTTTTCCCCAATATAGTTATTAAGAAAAGTTCATATCAAAGCTGCTTATCAGTGAAGTAAACTTTTTAAGTCATTTTCTGCCTAGAAACGTTCACTAGAAATCAATGTCAATCTCTGTTAAACACATCCGAAACACAAAGGGGGGATGGAGCTCTTCATTATTTAAATAATTTAATGCATCAATTTTATGGCTCATAAAATAGACATAATGAAAACGTACAGACACAGTTTAAGATCAAAATCCACTGTAAGCTTTGTACTTTTACACAAAGTCAGAGTAACATCTACCTTTCTAATTTATCTAAATAATGTCTGAAAGCAAGGAATGAATAAAGACATTAGTACCAGAATGATGAATTTAGAAGATGTGGTGAATGTTTCAGATTACCGGTAGTGGAGAAATAATATCCTATTTTGGAACATTTGAATTAAACAAAACAGCAACAAAAAAATATTAAATATTTGTGTCAGTGTGTCTATTTTTGTTTTTTAAAGATTTAAATGGGCCAGATGCTGTTCTAATACTGGTCCAAAACAACTGTGCTTAGAGTCAACTGTTGCATCTGACGTGCACAGATGCAATAGAAATAATTGACCTTTGACCCTTGCGTTGGTCTTTTGCTTTTTCCAACCTTTTCCAAAGCTTGTGTTTGTCTCCCCAGGGCCACCATGGAAAGCCATCTGGACACCCCATACAACGTGCCTGATGTTGTTGTGACTATCGCCAATAACGACATTGACTTTGTCATCAGGTGGGCTTCCAGATGTTTGTCTGACTGCAGCTTTTTGGTTCAGAAAAAATAACTAAATTTTTCTGATTTAAAAAAAAAAAATTGTTTTCATCTCATGACTCAAAATATCTAAGATCTAAGAAATCTGAACGTTGTGATTATCCCTTTCTCCATCATATTCACTTGAAACCTGAGGAAATTAAACTAACCCATAATCTTTATTGCTTAATGTCAGTGGTTTGTGTCACACAGCTCAGTTTTAAAGTTTCTAAGCCTGAACTTAGAATAGTTATAATGTAATACAACTTTAATACTTGTATTTGTATTATATTCATACTTATTGTTTATGTATTTCCATTAGCTGATGGCATATATTTTAATATATAGTTTCTACTTATGCTCTTTAATATTTTCCTATATTAAGACTTAATTTTATTTCTAATTTATACTGTCATCTGGGAGCATGAGAGTACAAAATTTCGATTCTGAATATGTCTGGGTATGTATTACAGAATTGACACTTAAGCTGACTTTGACTTTGGAATTGGACTTTAGTTATAACACAGGTCTCCCAGCAGTCCTAGTCTCTTCCTGTTGAGCGGAGGGCTTCCTGCCCAGATGTGCTCCTCTTCAAAAAGCCTAACTTTTATTTTTTATTTATTTATTTAATCAGGACAGTGCACATTAATGAACAATCTTACACTTCTGTACAGATTGCAAATGAGCCAGATTATAGCATAGTTCCTAATTTACCTCCTCAGTATGGTAGCTCTCAGAACCTCCCAAGCCAACTGCTCTCGCTCTTCTTTAGGATCTCGGACCGCGGCGGCGGCATCCCTCACAAAATCATCGACAAGGTGATGGACTACCACTTCAGCACGGCAGAGGAGAGCGCCCAGGACCCCCGCATGAGCAACCTGTTCAACAACATCACCAACAGCGGGAACCAGTCCAGCCCCATGCACGGGTAAGACCGGGACCAGGCCGGATCTGCACCCACAGATACCCCCCCCACACACACAGCCGGCGTCACGTGTGTGTGTGTGTGTGTGTGTTCTCCGCAGGTTCGGCTTCGGCCTGCCCACGTCCAGGGCCTACGCCGAGTACCTGGGGGGCTCGCTGTCGGTGCAGTCCATGCAGGGCATCGGCACCGACGTGTACCTGCGTCTGCGCCACATCGACGGCAAAGGGGAGAGCTTCCGGGTGTGAGGCTGACCGGACGTCCCGGTAGGTTCCGGTATGTCCCGGTAGGTCCCGGCGCCGGGAGCACAGAGGGTCCCACGCTCCCACGTCGGCGGCTGGCAAGGACGAGGGTTTATTTTCCGATTCTTTTTTTATTTTATTATATTTTTTTCTGCTCACAAAGTGACAGCCTACGTTTTGTCTTGTCTGTTCTTCTTTGTTGCGCCTTAGACCGATTATAAGCTATGTTAGCTCTCAATTGGAGTTTTTTTCTTTCTTTTTTTTCTTGCTGTTTTTCTGCAGTTTTTTTTTTGTCTGTATTTCTTACTCGTGACGTCCCGGATCACTTAGTGGTCCAGCATTTTTTATTTTTTTTTGCAAACGTTTGACTCGTCAGGACAAGTTTCAAAAGGTTTCAAATGTTTCAAAAGAACCTCCGAGACACTCCAGTAAAACCCCGTGTGCACCTCTCAGAGAGCACGCCGCCTCTCCGCGGGGATCATCGCCGTAGATGAAACGATCAGAGTTCACACGTAGTCGGCCGCTTGAAGAAATAGAATCAAAGGTCCACAAGGGAAACTGGTGCAAGTGGACCTCCAGCGGCCTCCGGTCGAAGCCCACCCCGTCTAGACCTAAGCCAACCTCACAGGGCTCATTCAACACATCAAAACCTGCCAAAACCCAGAAACGCTCTTCTTTTCTTGTTGTTTTTTGAGCTTTCTGACTGGTGAAGCGGACCCAGGTGTTCAGCGGCCTTACTGAGCGGCGTTTGTTTTCTACTACTCCGGTTCGTTGCCTTCTTCGGGTCACTCACGTGCGCGCTTTGCCCGTCCGGCTCAGCTGTTACTCATCAGTGTGATCTTTTTCTTTTTCTCTTTTTCTCACATTGAATTGACTTCTCGTCGTAATGCTGAGCACTCGCTCCAATAAAAGACAAAAAAGAACAAAAAACAGAAAACGCTTTGAACAGATCAGAACAACTCGTTACATAACGAGATACCAGAAGTATTGTTTCAGTTGGATTTGTTGTTTTTAAAAAAAAAAAAGAACGCATCTCAGTCATATTTCAATTTCACATTATTTTTGAGACACATTTTGTACAGAGTCCCATATCAGTTGGGTTTATGCACTGTGGAAATCAATTGGCAAAAGCTGCTAATTGTTTTAAATCCAGATGTTATGACTTTATGGTAAAAAATAGCTAAATCTTTATGTTACTTTTTCAGATTTCAAAGTTTAAGTTCCATTATAACAAAATAGGTCATTATTATATTCATAAAACATTGATTAAATTTGAAAATGTTTTTTTTTTCTTTTTTTTTTTTTAAACCTGTCATCATGGCTTCTTCTTCTTTGCTGCTTTCCCTCCATCTCTTCACAGAGCTGGAATATGAGGTTGCCGTTTTCAGGCCTTTGACTTTGGGTTTACAATAGGTGGCTCATCCCAAAGAAACAAAAAACAGAGTAAAGATCACTTATTGATTTGCGGGTTAATCGTACGGGGGTGGGGGACCACAAACTGACCCCTTTGAGGACGAGGGGAGGGAAAGCAGCAGAAGCTGAAGCCGGCAGGTTTAAACCTATGCAGTTCTGTAGAAAAAACCACCACAAGCACTCCAGTCGCGTTAAACATTCCCCGGAGCAGAGCTGCTGTCTCAGTGTGAGCTGCCCTCACCTTCAGCTGCCAGACGGCCATTAGGAGCAGAGTTCCTGTTCAGGGCAGCTTCAATGACCGCTTATCGGCTTCCACTCTTGACCCCTTCTCATCCTTCGCCAACAGGCCTCTTGTGTGAAACTGCCTCTCACTAACGTCGATTATCGCGTCGATTATATTAGCAAAAGCAAAAATGATAAAGAAGCAACACTGTTTCTGATTTTACAAATGAAGGTCTAGCTTATCTTACAGAAAATAAGTTATCTTTTGGGTTTCCACTAAATCAGACATTAGCTATCAATGTTTTAGTTGTAAGATATGATACATCATTTCTACGTTTATCTCGAAAAGGCTCATTTATCTGATGTGGAATCTGTTGTAAAGAAGGAGGGAAACAAAATCTGTAGCTGGGTTCTTGCAGAAGTTGTTTCTAGGACCTAATGTGTCTGTGGTAACTTGGAAGATGTCGCAGATATTGGCTGTTAGATATCAGCACATAGATGATAAAGATAAAGCAGAGGGGAGCCACCATGTTTTTTTTTACCCGGGTGTCTTTTTACGGGAGGCAGCGCCACCTGGTGGTTTCCCCTAATTCCAGATGCTGACGGTGGCGGTTATGAATTGTATGGTGCCATAAAATGTGCACTGTATGCCCTCTGCTGGGCCCAAGAAGTCAAAAGAGGCAGAAAACCCTTTTTCATAATCATAAAAATATCTACCTTTTTGTCTTTTTTTTTCGTGGTTTAACTTTTTTTGTTGTAAAGGTCAAATGAGAATTAGTTACCAAAAAAAAAAAGAAAGAAGAAGAAACGTAGACAACTGGTCTCCAGTACAAAGAACTATGTTACTGACAGTATGTGCCGTCATGGAGTGTTTCCCCAGACTAGCAGTTCCTCATGATTTCTGTTGTGCTGAAAATTTGTAGATAATAAATTTGATTTCATCACAACTTTGTGAGTATGACTGTCTTTTCTTTTTTTTTCTTTTTTTAAAAACCCATTTGGTCTTCAAACCTTTGAGTCTATTCATTTAGCGTGAAATACAGAGCATAACCTCACTGAAGTGCTCATATATTCTGAATTACTAACAAGTTACCAGCAAAAATATAATTTTATAACTATATTATTATTTATTATTATTATTAACCCCCTTTAGTTTTTTTTCTTTAACTTATTTAATCATTATTATAATTACTATTTATTTTACTTTCTAGGTATTCATATATTTTCTGTGTGTAAGTGTGTCCATGCATGGATCTGACTGGAGTGACTGGTCTTGGTTGGGGGGGGGGGCATCTCTATGAGGGGGTTTGGGTTCCAGTTCTCGGCCTGTGTCTGGGGGCTTGGGCCTGGTGGGGGCTGGTTTGCTGTTGCTCACGGTTCCTGGGGGGCCTCTGCCCTACGGTGGTGTGGGGGCTCTTCTGGGGGGCCTCCCTGGTTCCCCCTCTGGGATGGTGCCCGGTCGTCTCTATGGTGGTCTTCCATGGATCTGGTCTCGGGATTGCTGCTGGGGGACTTGGTCTGGGGGAACTCTCTGCCCTCTTTGGAGGGGGGCTTCGTCTTGTGGCCCCTCTGCACCAAAACTGACCACAGTTTCATTCTTTCACACACGTACACACAGTCAGATACCCAGACACACGCCTCCTGAAGCTTCTGTCCAGATGTGAGAAGTTCATTAATGTTCCTGCTACCAGTGTTGTTGCTTTTGCTGCTTGTTTGTTCTTTTGTCTTCCCTGTGTCCTTTTGCAGGAGCTCCTACAGGTTCTCCATCCGGATTGCCCACAAGGATCACTGACAGTTTCGTTTTTACAGACATAGCAGCCGGTTATATGTCTTTCTTTCTTTCGTCTTTTTCTCTTTTTTTCCCCGTTTGTCTTTCTCTTTCTGTCTAAAGGATCTTTCTCCTTTCCACTGCCATCCTTTGTTCCCTGTCCCTCTGTCAGGTCCTGCATTATTGGACAGATGTAAGTTTGGTAACCAAAAATATATAAAATAAAGCAGTTTTTGGTAATCAAGGGGGGCTTCTCACTAACAAATCCTCCCTTGGCAAAGCAATTTTGTTCAGCATAAGATGGTACTCAGATTTCAGTTCTGCTGCCATAATGCTGAACGGGACGAGAAAAAAAGAAAAAAGAAAAACTTGTAATAAAAAAAAAAATTCATTGGCTTTGAAAAGAGGGAAATTAAATTGGAAAGAAAGTTCTCTTTCAGATCCTCTGTTTCTTGTGACAGTTTAAATTACAACATTCTTCCTGTTCCAGCTTCTCAGATGAACTTTGCAGGAGGGATTTTCTTGTTTCTTTAGCATCGATCATAAATGTTCAGTCTAAATATTTGCCGATATGTGTTTCTTGGAGAATTTTCCCAGTGTGTTTTGTATGTGTTGATATTCATTATCGGGCTCAATAAAGGACTTTGGCATCAGAATGAGCCTTCAAGTTCCAGCATTGTCTCCTTTTCCCAGCAGATTGTTAATTAATCTGAATGTCTCTCATCAAATAATCCACAGTTGTTTCCCCTCAGCCGACTGTAACTGTGTTTTCTTTGCTTTACGTTTTTAGATTAGGTTAAGTTTACCTCCGCTGGATTTTTGCAACAGATATCAACTTTGTTTTCTGCCTGTATTGTGGTCCGTTTTCTATTTTTAGGTAAATTGGTTGGAGTTATTTAGTCCGCTGTTATTTATAAAATACTTTTATTTAGTCCATCCATTGTTAGCCTTTATGCTTCGAACCAATTTCCAATTCCAATTTTCATCATTTCTGTTTTGTTTGTACTTGTTTCCAATTTTAGGAGCAGATTACAGTACATGAAAAAAACTAAACAGCTTTTTCCCCCTAAAGCTGTACAATCCTTCCTCCCCCCCCATCTTTTTTGTTTTTGACTGTAGTTTCTGCTAAACAATCAAGTTCAGCAAGCTGTCTTTTAACTGCTGATGTGTTCCCAAATGACTCGTTTTAGTGATGTTAGTTAAAAAAAAAATTTCCCACTAAAAAATTAGTTATTTCTAATATTATTTTACTCTTCAATCATGGCCTGTTTGTCCTACTATATAAAGGAGTTGAGAAAACATCCTCCATGAGATGTGATTTTTGTATGATAAATAAAATGTGTTTGGTTATGCTTGTGAGTATAAATCAAGTTTCCATTCAGCCACTTCCTTTTGTGTAACTTCCTCATTATGTTGACAGGCGGCAGCAATCATTAATTGTCAATTTTCTTTTCTTCCCCCCAGATGAACTCAAACACAAAATTCTGCCCTGGTGGAGACCATACGAAACATAATCGAGGCTTTTTCAGTCTGATTCGACCTGCTGACCACTGTTTTAACTCCACAGCTGGTCCACTGGTCCCTTTTTTATAGGAGGGTGCATTCCTTGTATTCAGTCTAATCACTTCTAAAGATGTTAGACATTCTCATGAGCAAAGTCAGGTGTCCCAAACTGCTGCTGCTTTGAGTTCTGGTAGAAACATTTGTTCTGTAAATCGTTATTTCAGTGTGTGAAAACGAGTACAAAACAACTGTGTTATTCACTTTGTCACATGTTGACATTAAAATGGTCGGAAGTGTTTGCAGATGGCACAGACTATGATTAAGTAACTGTTTAAGATTGAAACACCTGTATTCATTAACAAGACTTCCAAATTTGCATGATAACTCTGCTTTTCGTAGTCATTAGACAAGGTGCTGTCGATGGGAATCCAGTCAAATTTGCATGCATGTTTGGACCGTAAAGTTGACTGAACTTGAAATTTCGGTGATCTTATCTTCTTTTTTAGATGCATTTTATGGGGAACTAGACACAAATCCAGAAACATGATCAACTCAACATTTAGCAGTCTGATATGCCATCCCGTTTACAGTAGGAAGACATGGCCTATTTAACATGGCCTATTTATTAGTTTCCTGCAGAGTAAAGGCTTTGGTAAGATTACCAGGTGGTTTCCTGACTCCTGTTTTAACATCTCTTAATAAACTCACCGAGGGGGGGCGGGGGTCCCAGAATTAGCAAGTGCTCGATCTCATCCACACCTGAAACTGTTGGTCCCTTTGCTCAGCTGACAGCTGAGCGTGTGTACTAAGATACTTTTTGGCTTCTATATCAGTTAGAACCTGCCTTGGTTGACATTTACTAATTACATCAAATGCCTTAACCCTTTAAAGCCTGATCCAAGAATAAAACAAAACAGAAAATTATTTTTTTGTTGTTTGAATTCCTTATTTGCCCTTTGGACAAAATATGTAAAAAGAAAAAATAATGATACATTTGGCATTGTAGGGCTAAAGAGTGGCAGTGTACCAAAGAGTGTGTGATCAGAGGAAAACCCAAACAAGATGGGTTCAACAATACTGTATCAATACCCCGACAGGACGTTGGTATGTGGTTGGTTCATGTATGTTGGTGTGGTTTAGAAGACTGGACAGGGAAATTTTTGAGGAGTAAAGCTGTTAGTTAGCAGTAGATGCTAGTAAACAATCCATTCTCATTATTTGCAATAGACCATCTATGTGTACCAAGTGTGACATTAATAACTGCTTAAAATAGATATTAACAGAATCAAATTACGTGGGGACACACATCTTTATCAGAAACGTTAACACTTAACACTCCTGGCATTCATCATAGTACACAACAACGTATAATAATGTGTAACACTGTTTTGGGGGGATTCTTTGCACTTGCTGGTGACCAAATAAAGTACCATGGAAAGCTCCTATGAATGGATTTTATTTATTTATTTTCATCCAAAATATACCAAATATATAAAAAAACATTATGAAAAAACTATTTGCCTCAGGCTCATTTTTAGTCTCATTAACGTATTTGATTTCTCCAATAAATTAAGCTGGATATTCCTTTGCTGTTCTTTCTCTTGGCCTTCAGACAAATTCCCTGATAAATCACTTTCAAGTTTCCCAATTTCTCAATAACAGCACAAAATAAAAGGAAACATCAATACATTTTGTTATTGGAGCCCATAGCAGAGCATGAATTGAATCTTCAAATATGGTACCTTAGCAAAAATACACACAACATGAAACAAAGCAAGACATTTTCTGTGAGAAATTAATGAACCGGACAAAAAAATAAATAAATCAGCAAGTACTACTACTTTGTCTTTTCAGTGAAGAGAGAGAGGGAAAAAGGCCAAAACTTTGGTCTGTCATGTTGTTTTGAACATAATAAAATACTGGAAACGTGTTTCTTAAACATTCACATCTCAACATATCCTGCCTTTTTAGAACAACCTGCAATTGTTAAAATGTGCCACATAAAGTAAAGTCCAAATGTTTACGGGTTGCTCATCAAGAATCTTCAGTCAAAATGCATATGAGGCCATCTTAAAAGTAGGCAGTAACCTGTTAAAATGTTTATGCCCTAAAGGAGGATCAGAATTCTTAAAAAAAGCTCTGTGGTCCTGCAAGAGACAGTCAAAGCCTGTAAAAAGAAGCAGAGCGATTTAAACCTTTGTGAGATTTTGGATGTAATTAAAAAAAAGGGTCAACTGGGGTGGGACTACTTATCCCAGATATATATACTAGCTGACAGCTGATCCAATCTGAAGCTATGTATAACATCATGTCGGCTAATTTTGGATCGGATACAGAAGATCCTCACCCTCACCTGTCACATATCCCCCTCTAAAACAACAATGAGTGGAAAGAAAACAACCACACACACTCAAGTTCATTTCTAGGGGAAAATGATTGTCTCCAATCAGCCTTAACTGGATGGTTTTGGAAGCTGGAGTACAAAGGGATAGCCTGTGTTTGGATTACTCTTCGATAGGGCATAACAACAGGATTTAGCCATGATGCTCAGATTGGATCATGGCTATGACAATAAGGACTGCACCGAGATGAATCGAGGCTGATATCTCCCCGGCAGGGCTGGTCACACGTTCTGGAGGCCCCTCTCGTGGCCGTCCAGCTGCACCTTTATCTTGTGGAGCTCCTCGATCTCCTGGCGGTGGCGCTCCGTCTTGTGGCGCACCAGCGAGCGGTAGAAGTGAACGGTGAAGACCACGAAGATGACGCCCACCGGCACCATGATGATGGTGGAGGCCAGCGCCGCCTGCCAGCCGCTGTACGGGACGGGGCCGGCCGCTCCGTTGCTGCAGGAGGTCCGGCTTTTAGCCCCGCCCGAGTCCACGGGCAGGAACTTGACCCAGCAGAGGAGCACCACCTCGGCCAGAAACAGCAGGATGCCCAGAGCCGTGGAGAAGCCCCACGCCAGCTCGATGTAGTGGTGCATGCGCTCGTGGGGGGACTCGCTGACCGAGTTGAGGTTGTGGATGTTGCTGACCGCCTCCACGTTGGGCAGGATGCAGGTGCTGATGAGGAGGGCGAAGAGGTGCACGGCCACCAGCACAGTGGTGCACACGCTGAAGGCGATGAGCAGAACGGGGGGGTAACAGTAGTCCACCTCCAGCTGGACCTCCACCATGGCTACCTACAGCCAAAGCACACAGGTTCCCACACATATTAGTGAGAAACCATTTAAAAAACTGATTGGATTTAGCCCTGGATTTTAGCCCTTTAGTTCTAGAATTTGTTAAATTGATTCCAATGTCGGGGCGGCACGGTGGTCTGGTGGTTAGCACCAGCGCCTCACAGCAAGAAGGTTCTGGGTTGAAGTCCCCATGGGAACCAGGACGTTTCTGCCAGAGGGTTCTGGGTTGGAGTCCCCAGGGGAACCAGGACCTTTCTGCAAGAGGGTTCTGGGTTGGAGTCCCGGGGGAACCAGGACCTTTCTGCCAGAGGGTTCTGGGTTGGAGTCCTCGGGGGAACCAGGACCTTTCTGCCAGAGGGTTCTGGGTTCGAGTCCCGGGGGACCCAGACCCTTTCTGTGTGGAGTTTGCATGTTCTCCCTGTGTCTGTGGGTTCTCTCCGGGTTCTCCGGCTTCCTCTCAAAGTCCAAAAACCTGCATGTTGCAACTCGTAATTGCTGCAAACTTCAGATTCTTAACACTAATTGCTGGGAGCACCTTATGCACAGTGGCTACTCCACCCAGACAGTTCACACAGACACTCTGGATCAGTACCGCTCAATAACGGTTCTCTTCAAAGAGTACCTGATGAAAGACTAGCATCTACTGCCGGAACAACTGACGGGCGTTAGCAGCTCTGCAACCAACAACCACTATTAACCACCGTCCTTCATAAGTCATTAACAAAGAATTGCCAGAAGAGAACAGTGAAAATGTAAGAATGTAAACCTGTTCACATCTAAAGGACATCCGTTTCTGTTATAAATGTCAAAGCTCAGTTACTCTACCCAGGTGAACGCTACACGTTTGTAGTCAAGGATTACATCCAGTGCTCTTACCGTTGCAGAGTATCTGGGGAACCCAGATGGGACCCGGATGAGGTGGCCATCAAGAAGACCCACTACAGCACCCCCAGAGACAGTGGCCGGCTGAAAGGTTCGACCGCCCCCCCCCGATCACCCAGCTAGCGATCTTTACATGCTGGCAGCAGAGAGACCGGGACTTACAGCCGGCCTTGGGCCTGCAGGACAGATGTTCAGGGGGTCCGACAGGCACACCCCAGCAGCCCTTATGTATGAGCCTCACTCCACCATGCACCTGGTCTTTCAGTCCACTCAAAGAGGCGCTTGACCAGACAAGGAAAGGAACCTATCCTCTTTCGAAGTCACATTCTGGACATCCTGATCAGAAATGTACAACGTGCACAGGAATTCAGGTTCCAGTACAACTCAACCCAAGATCAGTCGCGGACATACAGGAAGCGAGGTTACTCTGGTTTTGATATTTCTACTGACCATTTTTGTATCTTATTTGATTGATTGATCAGTCAGAATGTTGAAACAAGCGGATTTTCTGTGAAGACGGGATGCACTAATGAGAAAACAAGTCCTCAATTTAGGGAGGCCGAAGCTATGTTACCACACAATGAGTGCAGAGTGGGTTGACGGACCACTGGACCATTTCAGCTTGACAATCATAAACGTAATGGACGTGGTTGCACGGATACGAATCTAAATGTAAATGGAAGAAAACAAAACTACAAATTCACTAATAACAGTGGAAACAAAGCCAGTGTAGCTAAAACAATGAACTGTCTGAACAGACAGCAGATAAATAAGCATGTCAACAACTCTCCATCTCTGTCGGTTATGATTGGAAAACTCCTCCAAATCCTCCTAGACTGTTAACCTTTTTTTCCACTGAGAGATCCTAAAAAATTACCAAGCATTTTTGTGAAAAAAATAATTACTATTAGACAAAATAATAGCGCCACACATTCCAACGAGACTAACCTGTGTCTAAAACTCAGAAATAATGATATGTGGTTGGCCGGGAAGTGGTGTGTCTCCTCCAACACACCATGAGAAGCTGCTGGAGACTCAACTACCCCGCTGGATAATTCAGCTTGACCAGTCTGAGCCAGTCAAATAACACATTCCTCTTGTCTTTTGACCTTTCTTTAACAGTGCGAATCAAATGAATCCTTTTCCTCTCTTTGTCTTGCTTTTACAGACCACTTCTTCCTGGGGTGCCATTTCCCCAGCTGCCTGCCATCTGAACATCAAACAGAAGGACACAATAATATCTAGCAAACTGTTAGAGTGACCACAATCGCAGTTGGACTACACAGCAAGAATAATCCTTCAACTGGGATTTTTTATAGTGACATCACCAGCCAACCTCAACCAGCAACAACCAGTGGTGTCTAACTCATTTAAGGCATCCAGAATTTTCTCTTTTTCATCCCTCTAATAGTAATCTAAATATCCACGTATAAAAAGTCCAAACTCATCTCAGTACATTACAATAATAAAATACCCTTTTCTCATCACCTTTCACTATCTACCACTTGGGGGCACCGGGAACTATAAAATGGTGGAGCCGTGTGGAACATCCCTACCAGCACGATCAACAAAGACGGATAATAAATACAGGAACCAGTCAATAAATGAAGGGGCAAAAGAAAAATGCAATGAGCAAAATATCTCTTGCAGACGCTTTACCAAAGTGCCATGCTGTTATTCACGTAATTATTAGCAATTATGGTGACTTATTTACCCAACCCGGCCTCCGGGCAGCGGGTGCTCTTCATTACACATACATTACATGTTTTAATAAAAAGAGATTACACGATGATAAGTACATTTATTTAAAAGTCCTCTATGAACACAGTTGATGGAAACACAAATGTGAAGAATCAAACATGTTTTATGCTTAGCTTAATTCATATTTGACTTCCGTTATATATCTTTTGTGGCCTTTTGTCAACGTTTCTCTTATTTTTACAGGTTTCTTTCCCGACATACCCGTTTGTGGATGGAATTTATTTAATCAGAAGAAAATGAGGCAATGTGACTTTTAAAAATATGATAAGAGATCACAAGCTGAGCGCTGTTGGCTTTAGGCCTGAGCAAATAAAAGGTCTGAAATTACTCAAGCAGCATAATTTGTCGAAGCTGCTCTGTAACCACAGAACAATTAACAGAACAGAAGCCTCCATGTTATGCATCATATCTTGCGATTTTGCACATTTACATACCTCTGTTTTATTTTAAAAATCCAAATAACAGAAAAAATTGTCAATAACAGTGCTGATATAACAGAAAAAGATTTGAAAGTCTTCTGATAAAGTAGATTGTGACTTTAAAGAGAAAGGATCTTTAATGGGGAACATCTTGGTGTGACTGTGGTCTGCATCATTAAAGGCTTTTGGTTATGAAGTAAACAAAGCATTGTGCCCTTTAGACAATGGTTGGAACTAGTTTAGAGGTTCTAACAGAGGGTGCGGTCCAGTGGAAATGGTCAGAAAGGGTACCCACCATGGCGAAGCCGGAGAGCAGTGCGGAGGTCTTGCTGGACGCCTTCAGCTTGGCACGGCTCAGGTACAGCTTCCTCCACGACAGGGCCTGAGCCGAGTCCAAGTCAGAGCTGTCCAGCTCCGGGTGACTGTCCCTGTAGTCCGGTCCACCGCCGTCCGGAGCCTCCTCTGGAGGCCCCAGGGCAGGGGAACCCATAGGTGTGCTCTGCTGACCGCTCATGGCCCCCAGACGGACGGGTCAGTCGGCTCAGCCTGCTCCCCTTTACGTGCACATGAATGGAGACTGGAGTTTTGAAACTACAAGTCACCGACGCCTCAGTGCCTCTCTGACTGAAACTGGGTCAGCTGTGAACAATAACGTGCTCAAAAACAACATGCAGTGAAGCCACAGACCACAACATCTGCCCTCCGAGGAGGTTAAACATCTTCCGCTTCGAGAGATGAGGACATTTTGTGAGAAAAACGTTAGTACAGTGGGCAGTATCCCCACCTGTCACGCGGGAGAGCAGCGTTCGTGAGCGGGGAGATATACACGTCTTTATGTGTATATTTTTACTTTAGATAAAAGCGTGTGCAAAATTCATGAAGGGAAAAAAAGAGGGAAAAAAAATTCAAATGAAACTTGAATATGAAATGCAGTGCTGGCTGCGCCTGTTCCTTTTGGTCACTGTAGATGAGATCAGTCAACTCTTCCCATGTATTCCCACTAGCTAACATCAACTGTGTGTGTGTTGTGTCCAATTCTATCTGTCACAAAAATGTTTTACTCCAACATGCAGTTAGCAGAGAGTCAAAGCCTCATGGGAGGGTGAACAGGAAGACTTCATCATAAAGAACTCAAATAAACATGTATCCTCCTGAGAGCCAGCATCCTCCTTTGAGGACACTGCATTTCGGCCTCTCTTTACCGTGATCCTTCTTTTTTCTTTGACCTCATAGCAGACGCTATCAGACACTAATGTTTGAAATCTAAAGGAAAATGGTTTTATACATTTTCAACCAGTGGTGTTTTTATTGTATACTATAATTTTGTAAGTGAGTAAAGTGGATTGTCAGAGCCGAATTGCAATAACATTTAATTAAATATATAAATAAACATTTTAAATATAAAGATAAACCAAATGAGCCAGTACGAAAAAAAAACTACCTGTACCATGACAAAGTCTATTTATTAAACTTAAACTAATTGAGGCCTACTAATCCCATAAATCTTGATATATATATATTAATAAAGTAGACTAAAGTCTAAAGTAGACAATGATAATAATAATACAGTAGATAATCTAGCAGACATAAAGACATTGTGATAGAAGAAAAAGCCTATAATATATCTATGGCATTTAAATATACTATTGATATATTGTATAGTTGATGTATGATAGGGGACTTTTCTTGTTTTGTTTTTTTTAAAAGTGTCTAAGAAAACATAGTCATAAAAAATATAGATTGTTTGTCTAAAGAGCCATGATTGCTATCAAGGGCCTCTATGATCTGAACCTGAGTGGCATTCTTTAGTTGGACGCCTGTGCAACCCATGGATTGTCCATAACAAACCCCATGCTTGAGCATAACCTGGTTCAGGGTGTGCATCTGGTGAAGGAGAGAAGGGCAGAGCTGGGAACCAATCCCCACCTGGTGGTGGGTTGGAGGCCTCTATCTGTGACATCTGTTCCACACACCTTACAGAATACTTTCACAT